AAAATGGCATTATTCAACAATGTCAGTGGATTATGTCATACACTACCTTTCAGGGTGGCCCGGACCAATTTTCGTGCATTGAGATTTTCTTTAGAGTCATGTTTGATGTACACACTTTTTAACATTTCTCTCACAAAGGTGGGGGACCCACAATTTAAAAAATCATGTGCCCCACACACTTTTGTGAGAGGAGTATCAAAATTAATGTACACAAAAGTGTACAAATGATTTTTTCCTTTTCTTTAATATTTGGGCCCCTTCTTTTCATGACCGTTGGATTACATGCATAGGTTTTTCGTGTTAAAGGATAAAATCCAATGAAAATATAGATCGATTTATAAACTTTTAGACTATTGCTCTTAATAAGGTTAAACTTTTAATATGGAGCCACAACTCTTAATATCATATATCATTAAGTTCCAACGAGCAATTCGATCCGATTAAAATTCAAAAAAATGATCACACGAATTTCAAAATTTGTCTAATCAAACGAGTCACCATCTTGCGGGGCATGTAACCAATTTATAAGAGTTTGGACAAATGCTCTTAATAAGGTTGACATTTTAAAATTGAACCACAAGTTTTACCACTTCAAAGATAAATTACAATTTTATTTAATCGCAAAATATATTCCCATGTTTGGTTTTTCCATTTTTTTTTTTTTAGATCGTATCAAATTTTACAGAAAGTGTAACATTACTTTGTCAAGCTTATTAAAAAAACTCTTCACTACCATCTTTCGTGAGTCTCATCTGTGTTTTATGAATTTCAGAATTATCTTATTTAAGGTTAGAAAAAAAAAATTTAACAGCTTAACTCAATATTTTTGTTTAATGATACAATAAAAAAATTATTTCGTCAAGAATTGAATCTTATTAAAAAACTATTAATGTATTTGTCACACGGTACAAACTTAAGGCCCATTTAGTCAAATTCACTATTAAAGAATTACGTATAGTATTGAATCAAGGGAAAAATTCACAACTAAAATTTTATCTATCCCAAAATCAAAAATCAGGCCACAAAGTTTAGAATTGCAAAAATCAGGATTTTCATGAATTAATTAATTATATTACACAATTATTATATTAAATTAAATATTTAGCTGTAATATAATATAATATAATTAACCAACCTCACTTCCACATCCCCTAATGCTCCGACGACCACTCCAATCACATATCAAAAATTTGTAGATCACTGATTATTACGAGGTCACAAATCTAAAATTTTTAGGTCACAATTTTTTTATCGGTTATAGATAAAAAAATTTGTAGGTCACGGATTATTTCGAGGTCACAAATCTAAAATTTTATTGATCACAGATCAAAAAAATTACATGTCACGTATTTTCAAATTTATTGGTCACAGATTCTTTTTTAGTTACAAATTATCAATTTTAAGGTCACAGACACCAAAAAGAACCACCGCTATCGTTGACCCCGCCACAACAATAACAAAAAACGATTACCAACACACGGATCACCATAATCACCATACGACCACCACCACAGATCCACAACCACCGCCCAAAACATACCACCACCTCCACAACCACACATCTCCAGATCTGCGACATTTTCCAAAAACAGACCCATCTTCGCGACAACTACTACCAGATCCACAACCCACCACAAACAGTGGGTCTCATACATCTGCACCATCGACACCACCTCTACCTCGTCGCAGACCATCGAATACAGACATCAACCCTCGACAGCATCATCCCCTAATTAACCGGCACCTTTCAATAAACCACAATCTGGCCCACAAACAACTTCCGCCCACCATTACACAGCCTGCCTCACATACCAAAAAAAATTCCAACGACCCATAACAGCAGAAGACGGAGAATAGAACGAGAAGAAAATGGCAAGAAACTGGAGTTACCACCGGCAGAAGCACCGTCCAAGTTCTGTCACCAGCCACTCCATATCGTGTGTGTTCTGGTGTGGTGCTCCGTGCTCATCCTCGAGTTTTTGCCCACTGATTCCTCGCAGTTCACTGTGGCGACAACGTAAGTTCCGGGAGAAAGAAGATAAGACGAGAGAGAGAAGAGGGGACAAAGCATCGCGCGCTACTGCCGTTCACAACAGCGTCGCGACGCCGGCAGGGAAGGAGGGGGGAGGGAGGAGGGGAGGGGAGGAAGAGGTGGTAGACGGTGGTGGTGGTGGTGGTGGTGGTGGTAGGAGGATGGAGAGAACGGCGTTGTGGATAGAGGTGAGTGATTGGAGAGAAATGGATAGATATAAATGATAACAACCTGAAAAGTGAAAAAATAAAATGAAANAAAACCTGAAAAGTGAAAAAATAAAATGAAAACCTGATTTTTTAAAACGTGAAACTAAATGCCCGGTTTATGGTAATTTCCCTTGAATCAATACCTATTATTAGTGAATAAAGGAAGAAGCATAATATGGAAAATATGAAAATCAAACAAGAACACAAGATTTACGTGGTAAAAATATACCACGAGCAGAAGAGGAGAATTTATTAATATTAATAATAGAGGATTACAAATTATTGTATAGAATTTAAAGATTGACTTAATATGTGTTGTACACTACATATATATAATATGAAGATCCTTAACATACTAGGAATATAATACAATGAAGAGTTTAATATAAGGTAAAATTTCAATACAATTGGTCAAATCAACAGTGGAATATTTGGGATAAATTATGAATAAAAAAATTGCCAAAAAACGAATATCACCACCGCTCATATGGCATCTTCACGGAGCTTGAGCAATAACACCGCAGCTCAAGCATTAGCTTGGCACTAGCGAGTGCCAAGGTCCCTATTCTGAATGATAGCGTTTCCTGAGCGTGAAGTGAATGACCGTCTCACGTAATCATTTCCTAATCCATCTGGACTCCTTTAAAACATCTTCATGTCTACTACCAACTTCCAAATTGAATTCCAAGTTAAATTTCCAACTAGAATTCAAATAGAATTCTCAAGTAGTCTTTCAAATTGAATTCGGGTCACTCCCTAATTCTAACAAACTTTTCCTTAACACGAATTTCACTGGAATGGACAAAACTTCAAAATATCTCCACCTGAAATCATTCCACTGCAAGGAGTAAAACTTAACTTTTCAACCAAAAACAACCTCCAACAGAAAAATTCTTCATGTATTCCACAAAACCCAATTAAAGCAAACTCAATAATTGAAAAATCAATTGAGTCCAAGCACTGATTGGCAAAATTACCTTGGACATCAAAGTTGTTTTAATTATCCCTACGAGCAACAAAAAATCACAAACAACTTAATAATTACAAAATAGGGCAAAAGCATAACCTATAACAGAATCAATACACAATGTTTCAGAGAAGGTTCTTTACTAGACTTAACACTTTCGACTGTACTTAAAGCATTAGCAACAAAAATCAACTTCACTGTACCTTTGTGGAGGCTTAATATCTCTTTTGGGTCTATATCTAGCATTGAATATAATGGTCGCTGCTGGTGGTGGCAAAGTAGAATTACTGATAACTGCTGAACTCGACTGAGATATATTCTTTAG